CCCAAGGTAATTTATTTTATAGAACATGTTCAGCTATTATCTTGGCCTTTGAAAGAAACAAGTTCAGTCTTTACATGTCAACATGATTTGGAGCTGGTTAAACATAGAGGAAAGTATTCGTACACTGGTCTTGTCGCAACGTGGTGACAGGGGACCTCGGGGGTCAGTTGCCGAGAGTACCATTTACCGTATCTTGGCAAACAAAGCACATGGTTAAACAATACAGAATGGAGCTACGTTGATTTTCATTTGTAACCAGAAGTGCTGCTGACAGTCGGCCGACAAGGGATCTTAAAAAAGTTTGCATTTAAAAGAAAGAAGCACCTTATTGGTTATGCATGACTGTGACTGCGGGTATGCAGGACGGTTTGCACCATAGGTAACTAAGCTGTACACACCTGAGTTATGTCGACAGTGAATGCATACTTATTATTGATGGTCTAATGACCCACAGTACCGTGAAGTGTTGTGTTGTTTATTGTGCAGCAGGGGCAAGAAACCTTGCACGCTTTAAAAACAATATTTCTCCCAAAATGAGGGCACCATTCATCACGTAGTCAACGCCAAATTAGCTGAAGTGGAAGGTGGAGCAAGCACATGAATGCTGCGGTGTTAAAAACACGCGAACGCATGAATGACATTTTTTGCATCGAACCGAATTCCAAATATAATACCCGCTTTACAATGGTTAGCACAGGTGAATGGCAGACTTCCCGGCCCTTCTTGCTCTGGAATGCAGTGAATTTTCTATACAACTTGTTTTGCAAGTGTACTGAGCTCTTCCGTTGGAGTACTTTGACTCAATCTGCACATACCGTATCCTAGGCTGACACGCCACAAACTCCAACGAATTTGGAAGTTTTATTATCATGGTGGATGGCAAACTTAAATCTCAGGGTTCAATCATACATACTGAATTGTTTGTGTGTTTTTTTTGTTACCTTTAATCTTCAGTAACTTAAGGGGTACTACAAGGATCTTTTGATAAATTTTGTTGTTTTGCAGCTCTTTATGTTTGAAAGTTTTATGTTATTGAAACCAACAATGCAACACTTCAGTATTTTAATTATATCAATAACAGTAAAATTTTCTGAATTTCCCCGGTCATAGCCACGCATTTTTTACAACTGCAGGAGTGCTACAAGCAAACAGGATAAGCAGTTATTAGCATACCTAGAGATAACCTTTGACCTGACATGACCTTATCCCCATGAACTTTTTTTTTTTTATGTTTATGTCCTCCATATAAAATTTTGAAAAAATTTGTCATGACTTTGCATCCATGTGCCAAAATTCTGGGGCAGTTTTATTCTGAGATTAATTATAATAAATAGGGCTGATATTGGAGGTACTAATGTTTTAGTAAAAAAGAGATAAAATTGAGATTTAAAAAGATAAATCATATTACAGGACACGCTCAGGTGACGTGATAAGATCTAGTCAGTTGCTAATCTACAAATGAATAAAAATAATTGACAAACCAGAAATAAATAATGTTTTGTATCTAGACAACTGACCAATAAACAATATACTTGCTGTCAATATTTTCCCCTCATTTGTTGGCCGCAGACAGACTGGCAGGATTAGGTTGCCCCCATAGCTCATGTAAAGTTTCTCACATTACATTGTTGTATGGTTACCTGTTTAACAGCACAGAAAATCACAGACCATGGCCCATTTGTCAACAAATATAGACCGACTAACTAAATATTTGGTAAAATCTAAAATTTCAATGTTTAAGACACTTTTCACTTAGCGCAGCTCATTTGTCATATGGAGCATTAATTCAGTACTTGTGGAAAACATGCAACTTGCTATGGTAAGTGATCGACTAAAAGCCAATGACGAGAGCATTGGGCAGTGGGCAGTGGAATATAAAGGGGTAGTTTCGCATGATTTATAAATCCCCAAAAAACAACTTGTGACAAATATTGCAGTCATGAATTTATAGGCACTAAAAGCAAAATAATAACATTGACAACAAATGTTGAGAATTGATTTTTGTGACCATATAAATGCGAGGTATTAAAATCACATATCACGGGCAGCTCCTTCACTCAACTATCTTTTTTGTATTTTAAGAGTGTCTTTTTTTGGATAGCCATTAAATGATAACACTGTGCTGAGTACATACCAGAACATTACCAGGCTAACCGCCAATGGAAATCTATCATATCCTGTACATGATCATACCTAAGTATTGTAGCTAGAAAAGAAAACGTCAGTTTCTCCAAATTTGCTCGTGAGAAACAGATAGTAAAATCGTATATACATCCCGTTGTTCGAGTAGTTTGTACCTCAATGGCAAATAATGTAGTCAGGTTGTTTGCACAGTGATTCAACTTGTCTACTAGACATCCTGGGACTCTACTCCACTCAACTTCCACTCGCACAAACAAATGAATTAAACATCTCCCGTCTATTTAAAATTGTCAATAATGTATTTAAAAATATTTGTAGTAAAACTAAAACACTTATCGATGTGTCATTTGTTAACGCCTTATAACATTCAGACAACTACATACTGGCTCGCGGTGAATGGTTGAACCAAATTTTTTTTTTCTTCAGTTTTAGGTAACTTATTTTCAAAAGGGTGAAAGAAAGAATAACGAGATGGTCGGCCATCTTGAATACCCAATGATTTCCATCATTTTGGCAATGAAATCTTTCAGGATAACCAGACAGTTAATGTAAACATTTCTAAGATATCTGATTTATTTGCACAGCAGTGGTTCTCATCTCACTCAGAAATGTAACAACTACACAGCCTACAATGAAAATAAACCGGGATCTTGTATCAGCTGAAATAGCCATTTGGGTAAGGATGCGTTATTTAACTTCAGCTCAAAATCAACAATACAGGAGGATAGTATAAGCATAACAAAAATGTTTGTTTTATTGAGATGTGATTTTCGTGAAATAAGCCTTGATCATCGATAGTGCAAGTAATTGAAAATACAACTTTTAATTGAATACGATAAACCCAGAAAAAAATATTCTGCAATTTAGGCGATTGAAAGTCAACTTAGGAGGCATGACCTAAATAAGACAGCCTGTTCTCATCGCAAGTTTATCATTCTCTTTTACATGCTCGGGTATGGAACTCAATTTATAATAGTAAACAAGCAGTTAAAGAATCTGCATCGCGGTTGCACACACCAACATCGAGTTGACTTGATTTATTTCTCACACGATCTGATTGGGTGTAACAAGTCGAGAACTAAAGGGCAAACTTAGTGATTACAATGTTTGCTCCGGAACCTGTGTAAATGACAACCAAAATATGAAATTAACAGACAAGGCATCAAATGTAACATAAATAGCAAGTCGTCAAACATCGACAAGGACCCTATACTTTTAAAGTAAACAGGTGGATTTTTTTAAAAACAATTTGGTAGAAGTCTCTGACATTCGATGGCCCAACATCTCAAGCCACCCTCCTTAGGCTTAACATTAACAGGAAGGAGAACACAAGAAGTCATCTGATAAGAAATTAGAACATAGGTTAGACAGAATTTTTTTGTTTGACACTCTGCAGAAAACAATCCCAGTCTATCTATCCATCAAACCACTAGTGTAAACTTCTCTGCTCTATTGGTGAAATCTAAACCATACGCAGACTACCAAGGGTGTCACCGTGGAAACAATATATGAAAAGATTTATTTCTCCATCATTTGGATGTTCAGGATGTTAAGCTTTATAACCATAGCAACCACTGTGGTATTATCAACAGAATCAACATGGGAGTGTTACCATTGGGTTCTTATGATAAAACCAGATGACTTTTTGATCACCAACTGAGTGGTATTAAAAGTCATCTTTTCTGACAGTTTTTTGTTTGTGTCCTTTCATCTACAAGATATTTAAATATTTGGATGGCCATGGAATTACTGAAAGCTTTTAGAACCAGAATGAAATCTCAACACTGCTCTACATCTCTAGTCATCCAGACATACTCCTGTCACCACCTGATAAAGTTACCATAGCAACAAATTTTATAACAAATAAATCAGAACAGAAGTTGGGGGAAAATACGGACTACTGATTATACATGGGATATCTTTTGGACCAGGGTCCTAATATCTGAATCAGGGGCCTGATATAGCAATATTCAAATATTTTGTTCAAAATGAGCAAGAAATATTGAACTAAAGTAAAAGATTTATCAGCGTCAGTGCTCAGAAAAGCCATGAATGTTGAGAAACCCGCTCAGCTCATCTAGGTTTCCCATGAATATCACATTTTCCCACACTGACACACCCACTTCAGAGACACCGATCTCTTTCAAGCGATTCTCTTTGCTCCCTTTGTGAGCTGGTCCAGGTTGAGCATGTTTGCTTATTCTTCAAGCTTTCTCTATAGAGAGTAGGAGCACATAGCAAGTTCTAATGCTCCTCTTTGGCTTATCTGTTTTATAGTCATTGTGCTCAAAAGTAAACACTTATGCATTGAAATAAGTTTAAATAGATCTCAGTTGTAAGGACTCAATGAAGAGGCGGATGTTGAGGCATTTAAAGGGGGAGGGGGAGGAGGCATTGGGAAAGAATATTCCACCCCTCTATATAATACACTTATTTCAAAAGAACCCAGTTTATCTACCATCAATGAAATCTAACGACAAATTTGTGATTTTGAAATAAATTTTGAATCTTGTTAGCAAATCTTGAATTATTTTTATATATAATAATGTTAAATTTTTGCTATATCCATTTAATGGTTATTAAATTAGCTGACCCAATTTCATGCCGGGTACATCACTTGAATGGCCTATATATGCAGCATTAAAGGACCCCTAATTGCGGATGACATAGGCTGAAGCGCTTAAGAAACATACCAGTTAAACCTTGACGCGTCTTTCCATTCATGGAGCATATTTTCTCACAGCCGACTACATATCTTTGCTATTGTTACACGCCGGCTGCTATTCTCCCATCCCCTCTTCTTCTTAAACTGCAGCAATTTACAAGGAAAACACGGACATAGGGAATCTAATTGTGAACCTGTGTGAATGTGTTCTTCCCGCGCTTTCCAGCCCTACGGGTTCGTTCAGATGAATAGGTGAGCTAGAAACGAGGGAACAATATGGACTATTCTTTATGCACTAAACTGGATAAACTGAATGTAGTACATTCACAAGGAAAACACCCAGGGTTGAACTATATATAATTAACCATCCCCTGGGAAACTGTTTCACTATAACCTACACTTGAGATGTTATAATTATTCTCCGTCCCTAATTTCCATGTAGTAATTGGTTGAGTGATAGTTTGCGCATTTCCTCTTCAATGGAAATTAATATTATATATTTTACAATATAATTCATCCATATTTAAGTTGAGAATTTCTAACAGGAACTAAATCTTGCAACAAGAAAATTGAAAAAGACTAATGTATTCTTTGAGAAATGAGAAAGTGGGTTGAATGAATTAAAGTTGAATGCCTTAATTTGCATAAAAAAAAGAGATCACCAAGGCTATCTCATTGATTTGCTACTCTTTTTTTTTTATGGTGAGTATTGTTTTCAAATTGATTATTTCCAAAGTATTGGGATTCAACGATGATAGCAACTTGAACCCAAACTTGTTTTCCTAACTAGTTATTATCTTACTATCTGGACTATGCATCTTATCGGCATTTAAGTGTATGTAAACTCCCACATCCCCGGTGACATGATTTAACATGAATAACTTCTCTGAAGACACAGCATCAAGAAAAGCCAGGGCATGTTTAAACATTTTACGTAGAGACAACTTTTACTTCAAATAACATGACCTCTGACCTAAAAAAGTACATCTCCATAGAAACACATTTAACACCTGAAAGCTATTCAGTCAGATTGAATCCACTTTACAAGTGTACCCTTTACCCTCCCCTCCTTTGTTTCTTAAGTCATGCTAAGTCAATCACCTCTTTTAATCGTTAAGATGAAAATCCTGTTACACTACCCAATGCACTTGTCAGTAAAAAGTCTGCTTTCTTTCATTCATAATGTTAGGTAGATTACCTTTCACAGTATGAAAGGCTACCAGAGCACACGCTGCTTATCCCATTCCTTTGAAGCCAATGCATTACTTTTCCAACCGAAAAACACTACTCTGAAACCAGACTATCAACTGGCTAAAGTAAGGTAAAAGGGGGAGCATGAAATCGAAGAACCGATGATCTGCCCAACAGGTCAGAGTCTTATCACCTGACAAGCAAGAGTATGTAAAACGATAGGCGCTTGCAACAGGTCACTCATTATGCATTGGGCTTATAATACAACTCTGCCCCGCCCCCTTTTGACAAGCAGCCTTTCGTGCAGTGTATTTGTGGTACTATATGGTCCGAGTGAGCTGCAGAGCTTCGAACTCATTATACAGTGGGGTGAGGCAGTACGCTGTGATGAAAGATATCGTAATTTCTCCATTTGTACAGGTGCATTTGGTGCAACTTACAACACCTACTTCAAATTGGAAAATTACTATTGAGCACTGAACTTGATCACTCAGAAGGAGGGTACAGCTAATTAGCCTAACAATGCAGCTTGACTATTGTCATTAACTGTGTATTGTTGATAATTTCAGGGATAATTCAAACATAGAGAATGACATGTTCCAGCAGAAACTAAGGGCCAACATGCTTGTACGCATGAACACTGCTACAGAAAACACTTCTTAATTATGGATGAGCTTACCTTCAAACGTATCCCGACTTTTACCCTGTTGGTGATGGTTCACTTTTAAATCATACTCAAACGAGACAGTTTTCCTCTTGCCATCCATATTGGGCATGGCTTCTGCAAACAGAGTCGCTCTACCATCTCGCGACTCAAAACAATGCGTCCTACTGAGGAGTTCCTTCCATAGTCCCTCATCCTCCGCATTATTATGATCCTTATCCTGGAGTTTGGGATGGATCAAATATTCCAGTTTTGTCCGACCTTCTACATAGATGTTTGCACCTGTGAATTTACTGGAAGGTTTGATGCATCCTTGGAAATCCTTTCCCGAGTTTCCATACTGAAAAGTTATTCGGATTGCACCATAGGCATAGTCCCAGTCAACTCGGCCCTTAGAGCAGCCCAAGTAGAGTTGTTGTACACTTTTATTATCAGGATCCTCAGACAGGCCACTACTGAGATGAAAGAAATATATAAGCATTAGCCTTCAGTCAGTCCATTATAATAATCTAAAGAGTTAACCATTATAACTCAGTGATGATAGATTTTGTAAAATCCACTCAGAGAAATTATTCAGAAGAAGAAAATTTTACAGAAAAAACATGCATACTTTACAGCAGCACCATCATGACCCCCCCCCCAAGTTTCCAATGGTCAACCCCTGATGTTGTATATCTAGCACGAAGTATTCAGTAAATTTGAACAGAAAATTTAATCTTTGTGAATAGTCTTTTAAAATAAATGTAGGAAACAAACAGTTTACATATCATTAGCGAAACGGATATACGAGAAAGCACATTCCTAAAATTTTGAAGAACCACAACTGAAATGTATCGATTATTTGTTACATCCATATTTGCTACTGAACAAAACAAGCAGTGAGAATCTTAAACACTTTAGTGACGACAAGAAATCTCATGTCAAAAACATGTCGATGGATATTCGAGGCGTCAAAAGGTTGCCCGCAAACTTGAACTTGTCAATCTACATAAAGCGTGTTGTACCGAAAAGCGATGTTGGAATAACTCCTGGAATTCTAAGTGGTCACGGACGTAGATAATTCGAGTGAGCTCATCGGAGCGACGAAGGTAAATAAACTTCGACGCGATTCGATAGGATTAGAACAATCATCAAAAACCCATAGCGCATAAGAATATTATTATTGAACAAAGTTTACAGGAAAATATCATTATCGGCGGAAAACTTTGTTAAAATGTAGGAATGCTCTTCGCCGTTAGCGAATCCAATGATACCGGTTTCACTCATTAGAACCAATTGAAAAGTTCATCGGAAAATTGCGCTTTCCTCTCAACTGTATTAGTCTCTCCTTTCATAAGAGCTGATCGGATTTCCCGATTCAATTAGAAATCTTAGACGTCTTCCATTCACACAAATAAAAATATATGTGCGGTCTGCTGGGTTAGCTGGTCTCCGGGTGACGGAGCACGCTGAGAATGGTTGTTTACTTTGGGCGTTAGGTGACTTAGTGTTCCAACTTCACACGAAAAAGGGCAAGACAGAAAAGGGCGGGTAATGGTTACCGAAGACAAACCATGGGGGAGTTCCATGGGAAAATGCGATTTCATAACGCAGTAACAGCTCTCACATATGTAACCAGTTACGCTGAATTCGTCGAGGGGGAGTAGTGCAGGCTGTTAGCTTATGTGGTTATGTATTTGCAATGTTTGTTGCGAAGCAAGTCATGGATATCTGGTTTGAGCATACAGAACAAACTCACAAGGATGCCTTGTAGAACATCTGTGTTTACAAGTTAAATTACACGACTCCTGGTGCTGTTCCAAAACACCTTGATAACATTCACACTCGGCCAATCACTGAGCATTGCCTCGTCTGGGTCACACACGCGGACCTTTGAAAATTAGAAATAGTTGGCGACGTTCTCAACCGAAGATGTTAATTTCGAACACAGGAGTGAACGTTAGCGCTAGTATTCAACTCGAATTTAGTATTTAGACCCAAATTTAACAGTGAAAACCAGTGTGGATGAGACTTTACTTATAGGGCGGTCGTCCTCTTTATGTCCGTATTATGGAATTAAATCGCCATGAGTGGAGCTTCCTGCTTCTTTTTTAATTTTTCTCTTTCAACGATGGTTCACACGATTTTTCGGGTGATTAGCAGACAACGCGGACAGTGACACCGTTTTCCGTGCGTCTGGTGAACATGTCAAACATGTCAATTCCATTAACGTACTTCCATTGTGGCCTTCGTTTAATTTGCCTACTTTCCCACGCTATCATTCGCATTCGCGTAAAACGTACAGAATCTTGAATTAATCACGCCTTCGTTAAATAGTATCCTTTTAAAAATTACCGACCGTTAACGTTTAAAATTAGCGCCTAAGAAAAAAGAAAACGATGGGCTCAGTGTGTGACATGGGTGAGATACCCCACCGGCCGTGAGCAGGGATCAAATGGGGGTGTCAAAAGGCTTTTAAACAACTTTTTAATTGTGATGGTAACAAAGGTGATACCACTGTTCAAAGGCAGGATCAGCAAAGAGATAACACCTCGCTGTAAGGGGTCTATCTCGTCCTCTCTATCAACAGGAAGAAAAATATACGCCGAACTTCGGAGGGATGCAAGCCGAAGTCGTTCTAAGTAACACGTCAGTCAGGTCTCCAATGCAAATGCCAGAGAAGAAAGCCCAAAACAGGTCGTTTTGTGTTCCTCCAGTAGTGCATGGAACAGCGTCTCTCTCCGAATTACTGACTCTCAATATAGCCTGTACTTTCTGTACATATTATTGACAGCTACTGTAGCGACTTGATCCGCGTTTCCCTACCAGACACCTCAAAATTGCCACAGACCACATCACACCAAGACCATGAGTCGCATGTAATTGTAAATAGTGCGAACACGTAAACATCGAGATTGATTTACATGCTTGAATAGGGCCCTATTCAAATGATACCTGTTCGTTCGTCTAGGCAGATCAACGGACTTCATAATTTGTTTTTCAGGAAACGGTCTACTGAGAAGAAAGTAAGCACAGAAATGAAGTTGTCCTACCTCCCAATCCAGTCGCATTCATCGCTGGTGTAATGACAGTGCACCCAGACAACACAGCTCACGAGGCACCACAGCAGCACGGCCTGGGTACGTACACTCGGCATGGTCACACGTAGTAGTAATGCAACCCCGTCATTCATAGGGGTTAGTACCTCTCCGCAGTACACAAGTAAAAAGTTTTTAAAAAAAGTTTGTTTTAAAAACGCACGGGGAAAAACTACAACATGCTTCCGACAACAGTAGCTACGATCAACAGCACTACATCACATCTGATATCGTTTTTGAGATGACAGTAATATCCTAGACCGCCGGAACGGCAATCCCGAGAAATCAACTTGTAGTAAACAGCGGCGAGAACGCACTCACAAGTGTAGCACACGTTATGTGGGACTGTATGTTATCGACAAACTTCGGCCCTCCTTCTCTACGCTCCCTGGGCTATACCATTCTTAAATAGGGTGTATAGCTGAACTACTGACGAGTGCTCATTTGAACATTTTCCCGTTGAGAATATTTTGAAATATTATTGTTATAGAATGTAGTAGTGATATATTTTACTGGTTCATATTGGGATTGATATTTTTCGACAATATTTTAAAACAAAATCTGCCAATTTCTTCAAAAACACGTCTTCAATTGCAAATAGTGGACACCGTATAGTGAATGGAATCGCCCGATGATTGAGCACTGGCGGCCCCGAGCCAGTCTGTCGTCAATGGGTTTGGCACCCGATTGAGCCCGCGCTTCGGCACGTGCTAAAATCTATTTAGAAACCACTAGTTATAATCAAAAACTTTGCCATTCTGTTAAATAAATCACTGAAACAACATTTTTCATTAAAAAAATCTCACACAGCTGTGTGTATCGAGCGTCTATGTCTTTTTTTCTGTTTTTTTTTTTTTAGAGAACAATATTTTGTGTTATACTAGAGATTTCGAACGATGGCAACTTGCCAAGATCACTAGTAACGTCGCACGACATAAACAGCAACCATAACTTGGCCCCTCACACGCTCAAACGTTTTCACTGTGACCGATGCGATATGAGAGATCTTTAGTGCAGCGTATTCGCTGACAGCTCAATCAGTGTGTTGCGTTATTGTAAACTTTCTGACCATGATTGCGATGTCCGATTTCAACAACACAACTTCTCTATATAATGAGTGTTTTAGGTAATCACGTCAATGCATGTAAACCAGCTTCTAGTGAGGATAATGAAGTTAATTTCGTGACTTCTACAACTCACGTTACTTATAGGAGAGGTGAACTATAGTCGTATTTATACACACATGGGAAACGCAACTGTGTTGCATTTGTTTCGTAAAACGTGCTCTATTAGACAAACAGACAGAATCTGTAGCAGCACTAATTAACACTTCCACTAAAGGTCAACTCTGCTGTCACCCTCAATTATTTAAAATTCTAGTCTTGTTTTCCTTACGTAATCATCATTGTTCATAATCCCTAAAATAAACGGTAGTAGCACTTTGATTTTTGATTTCGAGAAGTCCCTCCCACAACAACAATGCTAAACAGCAGTGGTCCACTGCGCCGATGTTGCGCCTTTAAACGAGGTGATGTAGAACCCTGGGACTACGTCACATTAGAACACGCGATGTTTATGCTTTTAACCTTTCCTTTGTTTCCACATTGTGTAATTCAGTTATAAAATGTGGATACCTCAATGCCGAAATGATAAGCAGCTACATACGTTACTTAGCAACGTCGTCGAAGAAACCAGAAATCGACCAGGCTCATACGCGTTTTCACTTTTTCCTCCAGCAAATTCTGTGATAAAATAAATATCCACAAACCTATGGGTTTTGTGACATTCTTTTGCGATGGAAACATAATTCATTAGATTGACATATTTGTAATTCGTTGAATAAAAATAACAATCATATTTGATTAATTTATAACTACGGATGTAAACAACGAGTCGAGTGGTTCGGGAATTCGAGAGTAAAATACTCTTTGCGTGGAGGGGTGAAGCACCTGTCACGTCAGTTTGGCGTGCTTGAAGAGTAAGCCGAGAAAATGATGGGAACGACGCATTTCCGCGTCTCTCAGCCATTCAAGACGAATCACCGCGAAAGCCGCTCGTTGATACTGTATTAGACATGAATGTAATTACGCATACAAGAATGAACTGTTGACCTTTCCATTCATTTCACACACACACTTTAGTATAGGTAGATTAATAATAATTTAGACAGGTCGCCTCGAACAAATTTGAACAATCCAGTGTGTCCCATGACACTGCACTATAACACCGCCAAAGCCAAACACGTATTTATTTAAATTTATTGAATAAATGTGAAGGAACACAAGTGCTGGATTATACGGCATTCGTGTGCGCGCATTGACAATGGCGTGCGCCCCCAAATTGTGCACAATCACAAACACTTACTGGATGGGTATGGTTTAAGTCACGTGCCTTCATTGTATCCATCTTATTCTGTGTTTGCCATTGCAGCTGGAGGGGTTTTATTTTAAAAAAGTCGTCCGCTGCCAAGTTACCATCTGTCAGGCAATACCGTGGGATTTTCCCGGGACTTGCCACTCCGCGCGCCGTAGCGACGATAGAGCATATAGAAACTTTGCTCTTGGTCCGACCATAGTCGACCCATCGACTGGCCACCCAATGGTTGTATCGCATCCACCCGATACACGTTTTTTTTCCTCACCGGTGCTAATTTAGAACGAAGTTTACGGAGATTATCGTGAAGAAAAATAAGATAGAGTAATTAAGTCAGTGTTTGTTTTAACTAATGAATATGTACAGTATAATAATAATAATAGTTTATTACGCAACTGTAATCTGCTGTGGATACAGTAAGGTAAAAATAGTGTAAAATAAAGCAACTAAAAGTAACAAACAAATTTGAAAATTCTAATAACTACAAAAAATCAGAAAGTAATAAAAATACAGTAAATAAATCAAAGTAAAGGTAAAGGTTTTCCCTAAACCCAGGTAGTATACTTAGAAGTCCGTCATATTTCTACATACCGTGTCACCAGGTTTAATGATTGTATGCCTTTTTTCAGTTGTATTTCATTTGTATAGAATCGTTGGTGGAAATGGAAACACCGTGCTGGCGAGTCGCGACAAGTGTCGCCGTGTCACGGCTTGACATTGACTACAAGTACCGTGCAAATAAAAAGCTAAATAACAAACTACGTACGCATTTTAAGCCGTTTTCTTACTCTAATTGCAGTTCTATTTCCACAATCAATTCACTGAATCAATCATGATCTACCGTAAGACTCCAGGTGTGTAACATAGCATAAACGACATCTGAACACAAATATAATCGAAGGCGTGTAACGCCCGCCTGCATTGACGTAATTTCCCCTGTTTATGTTCCGATAAAAATAACCTAGATGCGCTTACGCGCTTGCTTCGATGCGTTCATTGCGACTATTAAAATACACACGTCTCTGTACTTCCACGATTATGGGACCCAAATAAAAGGCTTCACTTTTAAAATAAATAAATAAATAAATAAACGAACGAATGACTGAACAAATGAGTATTTGGCGTAGAAGATTAGTGCCGCGCGTTATAAATGTTTTCAAGTTGAACCTAGTATTAGTAGTATGAGGTTGAACTTTCTCCGAACGATCAGGGCCAGCGACAGTCACATTCGCGATCAAAGAAAACAAAATGAGAAAGCCATTTATGAGTATTTGTTAGTACGAACTACTCATTATGTGTGACTACCTTGGGATCGTTTAAATTATTTGTAATAGGGTAATGATAATGAGCAAACTCCGCCACGCAAACCGCGACAAGCACCCCACAATGCCATTGCCAAGCGATTTAGTTACGGCAAGCCTGCCCTCGCTCAAATTACCTTCTGACAGTACTCTTTTGTTTTTCTCCAGCGATGCGTGAAATGCACGTTCGTATCTAAGGACAATGACCGTTGTTCGAACACCCCTTCAGCTTTGTCACGATTTATAGCAGATCAGTCCTTTCTTTTCAAAATGAAAATTACAAAAATAGATGCACTGAGACACGCGCCGACAACATTCTGAGTAGACATACAAATTATTAATGAAGAATGAATGGGGATAGACAGCCAAAACTATACAGTAAATAGTTGGATGCGGATAAGGCGGAAACGATGCCTCATTAATCTTCTACGTTTTCAAAGACAAACGTTCGTTACGCCCGCAGGCAACATACCTCGGGATTCATCTACCGTATAGCGGTTATCTGTTGGGGCTAGCAGGTGCCACTTTAGTTTGGCAAAGCAAAGATAACTGTAAATCTTTTTTATCTGCTCTTGTATAAGTATTTCGCTAACACACAAAAGGAGCGACGAACCTCGGCTGCGGGCTCACCGTGCCTGCCTCTATATCACAATTGCTCGTCGATGTATACGTGACTGTTCTGTTAATTTAATAGTTACATTTATTACCCTCTACAACACAAAACGTCTCAATGGGAGACCGTAGAATTAGGTGGTACAAACATTTTTCCTAACTCGAAAATATACACATCATGACCACTTAACACATTCAAATTAATCGTTAATCATGACTAGAAAGCCACAAATCTATTAAAGTCTGGCTAACAATGATATGGTAAATAAGTAAATAAATTGGACTAATATACATGTATCTGCTTTCTACTTGGGATATCGTACAGTATTTGCAAAAACATCACGTGATCCTGGCCCCAACTCATGAGATCTGGCGTCTCGTTGTCCGATTCAAAGTTACTGATCCCGACGCCCGATTACCGATACTATATCGTCAAAAATTTTGATGAGTGGTGAGCAAAATCTGGCGGGGAACAATTCGCAATTCAGACATATATTTTGCTCCCTAAGTCAGATAAGGAATCCTCGTCGTTTTTGATTTGCAGTTTTTTTTTCAAAACAAATTTGTGTATACTTTATTTTTTTTAATATGACAGTATTTATTAACAGTTATATTCACCATGTTTATTTCATGTACCATACCTTTATCTGTTTCATGGAGAAATTGTGTTCACCGTTTATCAGACTCGCTGGCTTGTAACATTTTGATCACCAAATTGTACCAACCTACTCTCGGGATGTGTCCTAACACAGTTGGGTTCGAGTGGAATTTAAAGTGGATGGAACGGAACGTACAATCCGTATAATTCAAGACCATTGAATTTTAAGTTATTTTAAAAAGAAAAACAAGTGGAAAGAAATCTGTACAATTTCAATTATTTAAATACGGTAAACATCTTAACGACTCTACACCCCAAACAACTTGACAACACATCTCTTACTTTGAAAACCAATGAAATTGAATTATTGTTGAGATAGTTAATTATGCCTATCATCTCTCTTGGGACATAGGCCACGAACAAGATTCCTCCAACCAGGCCG